AACGAAAACTTCATTCTTCATCCTTTTCAAAGAAGTGATTTACATTGAATGATGGACAATTTCATTTCTAATTCTTCTTCAATTCTACTAATACCACCTTTTTGATATTTTACAATTAACTAAGTTACTATGATGATTGTTAAGAAGATAAGAGCGATGAAGGTCCACATACAGATTTCTCATTTATTCGAAGTACCCTTACTGTCACCTGTCTGATCTACTCGTGATGCTGAACTGTACAACGGCAGTTTCTTTCTATTTTTATTTTCGAGGAAATGGTTAGAAATTGCGTGCAAGTAGGGGTTCCGGCACTAATGACTAATGTGAATGTGACATTCCCACCACCTATATGAACTATGATTCAATTATGTGCATACTTTTATAACCTCTTGCAGCAGTCAAGATAGCTGACGCAAGAGCCGTTGCCATGCTGCTGTCATGAACTTTTCATTTTTGACAGAGCTATTCGTCACAAGTGCATCCAATTTCATTTTTTAGCTGGTCGACTCTTTTGCACTACATGCGTTCGAGAAGGGAGAGAGGAGGTGGAGGGGAAAGAGAGAATTAAAAAGAGTGAACAAAAGTTTTTTTTGAAAGTGTTAGGAGGATCAATTGGTTGGTCATCGCTGATATGTTTTTCTGAAAAGCACTGCAATTTCTGAATAAGTTTCGAGACGTTCCAATTATAGAAGATTCAGCTTACTCGATGCCTTAACCAGACTGTCTGTATTTCACCTTCCCTGAGTAATCTAATCAACACGTAGTTGAAGTACCAGAACTGAGTGATTGCAATGGTTCAAGATATGCTGGAAACGCTCTGTGGCTAACCTGCGTGATTCCACACCCCCACTGTAATTCCCGACGACTGACAAAGGCGGTGTTCTCGGCTTAGTGGTGCTGCTTCATTGTTTGTGGTTTCATTGAATAGAAACCCTTTCACGACCTTCTGAATAGGCTGATTCATCAAGTGACTGTGTCCTCTCATTCTTTTTTTTCTGGTTGAAAGAACGGAATCGCTCCTTCCCTAACTCTTAACTTGTGGGGCGGGCGAAAGGCAGCGGCCAGTATAACTCGTACGTCTTCGCCGAATATGTGTGTCAGGAGGCCCTCTCAAGGTCGGTTTGTCTTTAATTGGGTCACCGCGCGCGGCATTTTCTAATTTTGAGAGATTCCCCATCTTAGAGTCATACTCGACAATGTCGTCGTTGCGAAATCATATCGACTTCGTGAGGACTCCTGACCACCCTTATCCACCATTTATTCCTCCCTTCAGCTTGCCGTCGAAAAAAAGCCCACTTAACGATTCCTTTGAGTTCTCCCCAGTGAAAAACCATTTATAGTCAAGCAGGCTTTTTTCAAACTATAATACAACCCATATTCTATTATGGGAAAATGTTTCGTTTAAGTACTACTCGAGTCAGTGCCAAGCAAAGGGCAAGGTCCAATCAACTGGAACTGAATTCAAGCTTATAGCATTTCGTAGAAAGGGCTAATGTTCAGTCGTATCCCCTACTAGTCGAACAGCAGAGTTTCTACTCAACTTTTGGTCTGCTATCTCCCATACTGGATGCTTTTTCCAGAGTTAGCTCATAATAAATGCATGAAGATAAGAAAAACATTTTGCCTTACAGTACCTTAAACTTTTCCGAAAGAAGTCTGCGATTTCCAGCAAGTTTCTTGAGCTAAAGTGTTTACTGAGTTACTCAGCAAGGTGATAGTTGTAAGGAAAACATGACAACAACCTAGGAAGGGACTTTGTGGACAACACAGTTTCTCACACAAAATCTGGAATACTATGAAATTGCGGCAAGCACCAGCGCATGTTATGTAAGGGAAGACCTTCCTGACTGTCATCAACTCAGATTGAACTATCTATAAATGCCGGGCACAAGTGCCTTTGTGAAAAAGTAAACCGAAATTTCCATCGATTTCTTTCTTTAAGGTGTTGCGAGACATCATGTCAGTGTCAGCAATCTCTGAGAGCAGCTCAGAATGAATCATTACAGTCAAAAAGCAAGAAATACTGGTTTGATATGCGCGCTTCTAACAACATTCTCTCAACGACCTGACATTGTTAGAGGCGATACGAATCATGTTCTGTTGTTCTTCCCGATACATCTCTCCTTTCCTTTTCTCGTTTTCTTTTTCTTCGACTGTACAAACATAGTTTTTTTGTTACTTCACTAGAACTTTCTTTGTTATTGGTCCAGAAGACTGATTACACTATACGTACAGAGTTTATCGATCTGATAAGCCCATCAAGCCTATATTCCTATTTGGAAGAACTATTTTAATATTTGTGGTCCATTACAGTCTGGTCTTACCCCACGTGAGAACTTGCTACCGTGTGTTATCATTGTTCTGAACCCCATGCATCCTCAACATTCCCGCTTTAAGTTTACAGAAGCTTCTTTTTTATTTCCTATCACAAAGTTCAATCTCACTAAAGAATCCCACTCGTTCTCACGCTTACATCATTCTCAAAGCATTTTTTCTGTTGATTGTTGGTGTCCGATACTACGAGCTTCTAGTAAAGCTTGCAAAGGTCCAAATCAAAAGAACGTCGCATTGCCCTAGTATTCGGTTGATATTGATATATTGATATTGTCTGTATTGATAAGTCAGTTCAAGGACACTCTGAAAGTCAGTGTATTATCTTCTGATCGGTTTATACGTATTGGAATGTACTTAGAAATGCATTGTCACCGTTTTTTATGTCTTCTCGGAGATTGCCCTGAAGTGCTCATGGTCGAAATTTCTCTCGAAGGTTTTTTTCAGGGCTAATGTTTTGTTTTCTTTAAAGCTAATGCTAGCTACAGGCTTGAGACAGCACAGATTCGGCATCGAACTAGCCGAGTGTTTTGTTCGTACTCAACTCGGCACCCTAGCGTCAACTATTCCTGAACTACTTTTTATGCTGTAACCGCATTGATTTCACTTGACTGCGATGTTGTTGTTTACAAACGAGCCATCCATGTTCGTGAACTGCTATTGACATCTCGTAATATTACTTACTACGTTACTCGTTCCTCATCTGTTCTGTTATGTACCTACGCCTCAATCTATCATATTCTTTTTTACGAGTTGAATTTTTTTCATTTTCAGTTTTTGTTTTTTTTTTCCTAAACATCCTAACGAGTGTTCCTTTTCAAAAGCGTTCCGTGTCAAAACAACAACCAGCAATCCATGCTTCGCTCTGCATCATACCCCACGCAAAACGGACTTTCCTATCAATTTTTCTTATCGTTACAAGGGTCAGGTGCAGGGGTCTTCGTTTTTTCAAAAAGTCACCGTCGCGCTTTCTTGTAGGAGGAAGTCCATTGCTCGCTATTAGCATATGATCAGCAAGGATTATTCTGAATCTCAAATATTGAAACGAAAGTTATGAAACGAAATTAAAACACTTCTAAACAAAAAGGCCATATGGAAATCCAGAAGTGCTTCAACATATGTCGTATTGCTTTTGAGATGTGGACGGCGCAAGACACGGAAACCCCCTATCGTTTCAAAGCGTTCCGCCAGATCCAAAACCATTTTTCATCAGAATTTTCTGTACTCTCAACTTGTAGATGCCAATGGACCCACTTTTCAACTGACTGCTATCATAGTTTTTTGAAGCAATAAAAGCCAAGCCCTGGTGTAGAAATGCAATATCTTTTTATGAACCTTTCGTGAACCGTTGGACGAGTTTGACGACGTTTTATTCGATTCTTTTTCATCGATAGACTGGTCGTGTGCAACTGCAGCTGCGCTTTATCATCTATTATAAAACTGTACAAAACAGTGCGAAAGTTATCTCGTCCTAGACGCGAAGGACAACAAGTTTTTCAAAGAACGATAGGCCGATACCTTGGTTCAGATAAAAAGTAGCAGCAGGTAGACAATAGCGCGCCCAGGAAAAAAATGCAGGTCCGACTTTTCATACATAAACATGGGCTCACACAAGGAGCCTATCTTTCTTTCTATCCTGACTTTTAACGCCATACATGAATCGTGTCTACAGACTGCATCGTAAGCGCATTTGCTAAACTTTGAGGATACATATCAAACTGATAGTCTGGTTGATGAATGTGACGTGCCCAGCACGACGAGTTTACTTGATTGACTCATAAAAACATCAGCAGAGGGAATTTCAACGGCCTCGTTCAAAACAATTCAAAGCAAACAGATTGAAAGCAGATAAGTTCTTTCAAACTCACTCTAAAGAACGATCTTGTCTCCTGACGGGAGGGAAATCACCCTTTTCTCACATTTTCCTTTTCTCGTTCCCTCATAAACTTTATATCGTCGGTCGTCAAAATAATAAATCGACGTGTGTTCTCGTTCCATTAAAATGCATAGCCTATGACAGTCGATTGTCATTTCTTTGCCCATCACTTAACACATCAATTTCTTTACCTGTTCCCAGGTAATGCCGTGTGGTATTGATCCTTTTCACTATCATCGAAATTCATACTTCCGAGCTCTGTAGATAGTACAGATATTCAAATCCGTGCAGTATTATCTCCCGTGTTTTCGACTACTATGATGTTATGTATGCCGGAAAAGGGCACCTGATAAGCTGCAGCGGTCTTTCTAGGTTTGGTTTTACTCAGGCTACATAACCTTTCAGTTGGTCGGGTAGTTCGAAGCGGGTTCAGAGCTTTGGAGCTTGAGAACCAGATGATCGATTGAATGATTCACTGTAGTTTGGCTCAATTTGTTTGTGTCCTGAATGCTGAACTTTGGGACCGATTCTCCACCCAGAATACTAATCGTAAGCAAGATTAGGGAAAATTAAGCACAACTCGAACGAACTCTGGCATTTTGTCTGTTCACATGCCAGTTTGTATCCTCTTCATCGCTCTAATAATTCCTGATTGAATTGCTAAATTCACTCGCATTTTCTTCTTCATGAAAGTTTTTGATAACGTGAACTCCGTAATTCGTCGTATTTTGTGAACTCCGATTCGTTTGAATCTTTTTTTTAAACTTGGAACGAATCTTTCGTAATTAGGGACATGCGAGTATGTATTGTCGGCGGTGGAGGTTACTTGGGATGTCAGCTTGCTAGCCGTCTACAGTCACAAGGGGCTCACACCGTACTGCTGGACATTGTCTTTCCAGTGCATCCAAATATTGTGCTCGACGAAAAGTTAACAACCAGAATACAGGTACATACTTTGCAAAGGGCCAGATATAGATGCTTCCGATCCAGTTTTATTCATCTTCAATGAACCCTCACTTTTCTTACGCAGAAAACCCTACGCTACTTTTTAGGGCTCATTACTAAACGAGAAGATCGTCGAAGAGGCGCTAAACGCTTGTGAATCATGCTTTCATCTAGCAGCCTATGGGATGTCTGGTCTGCAGGCAGTGAGTGAAGTTTGAATGTTGTAGTTGGTTGTAGTTGCATCAGTAGCTTCTGAAGAAACAGAATATACTGGCGTCAGCTGCACAAATACGATTTCTATGTACTCGAGTAGGAATATACGGATGACCGCTACCTCTGAAGGAATTCACCTCCATATGCAGTGGTAATGGAGTTTTGGTCAGTCGACGGAATGCTGGTTATAACTTAGATACCACAATTGGCTGCGGGGGGACAAATTGAGACGAAACTGTATTGATGTTTCAGAAAAGCTTTCGTTGTAGCTCAGTATAATTTGGTAAAGCTACTAATCGATAAGTGTTTTCTTGCACCTGTAGCACCCTCAAATGTATGGCTAGTGGTCAACACTATATGTTTTGAATCTAATTCATTAAAGCGAATTCCCTACATATGGTGATAGGACTTTTCCCGAATTCCCANGATGTCTGGTCTGCAGGCAGTGAGTGAAATTTGAATGTTGTAGTTGGTTGTAGTTGCATCAGTAGCTTCTAAAGAAACAGAATATACTGACGTCAGCTGCACAAATACGATTTCTATGTACTCGAGTAGGAATATACGGATGACCGCTTCCTCTGAAGAAATTTATCTCCATATGCCGTGGTAGTGGAGTTTTGGTCAGTCGACGGAATGCTGGTTATAAACTTAGATACAACAATTGGCTGCGGGGGTACAAACTGATACCAGACTGTATTGATGTTCCAGGAAAGCTTTCGTTGTAGCTCAGTATAATTTGGTAAAGCTACTAATCGATAAGTGTTTTCTTGCACCTGTAGCATCCTCAAATGTATGGCCAGTGGTCAACATTCTATGTTTTGTAATTCATTAAAGCGAATTCCCTACAGATGGTGATAGGACTTTTCCCGAATTCCCACATTTTTCCGCGGCGACTATGGTATCCTGAAACTGGAATTCAAACCTTTCCTGCAATGTGGTATTTTCTACCCGAAATCACGTCGCGCTCGCCGCACCCGATAGCGTGCCACTGCACGCAATCGGGTGCGGCGAGCGCGGCGCGATTCGGGTAGAAAACACCCCACCCAGGCATTCCTATTCAATCAAAAAATGTGTTATAATTGTATTTGAAAGCCTTTTATTCGCTTCGATCTGGTCAACATGGAGAATTGCAGTTCAATCACAAGCTTATTCATGAAATCAATGTCAATGGGACTTTGTTATTGTTGGATTGCTGTCGACGCATGGGCGTTTCACGATTTATATTTGCTTCATCGGTTGGAGTGGTTTTTACGAGCAAAGAATTGATCAATGCTGCTGAAGATCATTCGTATCCAAACGACTGCGAGGTAATAAAAGCAATATTATCTATGTACTCTTTGACGATTCATATAGCCGTTTGCTCCTGCAATGCCATTGCAATGTAAGTGATTTAGTTTGTAATTATTTTGTATTTCAAGTATGTGTCCGATTACTGTGCGTCGAAAGCTCGAGCGGAGAGAGCAGTCTTGGCTGCGGATTGTCCTGCCCTTCATACTTGCGCGCTTCGGCTAAGAGGAGTATATGGACCGGGCGAACCAAGAAGCACGGATCGAGCCGCGGTAAGAATTTGATACCTATCATCATATAAGCATACAGATCAATGTCAAACAAGCAACTTCCGAGAACCTTATCTATAGCTAGAAGCGCAAGTCCTTTAGTAGAAACCAGCTTCCCTGGTAGAACTGCCTCTCTGTTGGAAGTAGCTTTAAGCGTAATAGGAAGACGGAAATAGCTACTAGGAAAAGAGCTGACCGTCAGAGCCTCTGGCAAGCTTCACAGCTAACAGTTTCATAGACTTACTGTTATCCCCCAATCGACGCCACTGTTATTTTTGTCATGAGAGCCTTGCCGGTATGCTTGTTAACGTCACTCCCATGACTGCACGGTTTTCNGCCTATTAGCTGCAACCCGTCAAACGAAATAATGATAGCATTGAGCTTCACAACATTATGATGCTCAGTAGATCTGGGTACTCTTCGGGATATAGACAACGACAAGGAAGATACAGCATACCACCGGCCCCTAACAATTTAGGATCGCATTTTAACACAGAGGGATCAAGGTTTGTAGCTTTGATCAACCCTCACTTGGATGCGCTCCGCATTTGACTCCAATTCGGAATCGCAGTGCCGGTTCAAGTCGATTTAAGAGTCAGTGTTTTCACGGTAGCCCTAGGCTCGGATTGAACCGGAATCAGAACCGCGGACCATGCACGTGTTAGTGCGCGACCTGGTACTATACCACCCGCGCTTTTAACTGACTATACCTAATAATCGAAGCAATGAATCAGAAAATGGTACGGACTTCGGCAGAGTGAGCGAGAAGTTAACAGAAAAGCCTACTGAAG